ATATTTACTTATTTAAGTGAATTTCATGAATATTATATTAAATAATAGGTCAATTTTAATCATTCAGGTACTGGTAGTGGTAAAGAAAGGGGACGAATCCAAATGAGTGGTTCTTCTGGTCCTTTTTACCAACCCCAAATTAGATATACGAATGGAGACTATTTTTCCTCCATCTCGAACCATGTGGTTTTCATGGTACTATAGTTGCTAACATTTAGTAGCTGAAGTGCAAGTATTATAATTTAAAAAGAGAACATGTTGAGGTTATTTAAGTATTTAGCTCAGATCACTCACAGAAGCATATATGGACCATTGAAAAAAAAATATATAGTATCCTATTTTAAGGATATTATAAAATGTTTACAGTTATTTATTATATAATAATTAACTACTTGAAAATCCAGTACTCAGTTTGTCCAGTACTTTTTGTGATTTATGTAATGAACTAAAATAAGTTCATTATAATGTTTTATTATTGAAAATAACAATGACATAGGGTGACCAGTGCAGTAGACAAGTATTATGAGTCAAAGTTCTACAAAAAAAAAAATCATTCCATTGGTTCAAGAGATATTTGGAATACAAGTAAATAGATTTATCATCCCTCCTTAATGGGCTAGGACATTGTAGACAATTTAGAAATTGCTGTTTTTTCTAAGAATTATTCTAAATCTTATTGCTTCAGTAATATAGTGATTCTTCCGTGACCTTTTCTAATTATTCTGTTGCATAGCTAATTCATCGCCTTCCTAAGTGTTCTTGAAAATCTTCTCGTATTTGCACTCTCTATAGAGTGTAAAAAAGCTTATTATTTGTCGACTAACTGTAAATTGTATATTACTAGTACAATATTTATTACCGGTAAATTTATCTTATACGGATTCAAAATATAATATTACCTCTATACAAAAAATTTAATTCTCAACTATTTTTAATTGAAAGATTTTAGCAGTCATTTCCATTGTACATACATCCGTGAATCACTAAATTTGTGTCTTGGAAATGTTCCTAGAAATTGTAGATTTATTATTACCAACCTCGAGGATATTTTTGGACTTCACTAATAACATTAGACATTTAATACGGAATTTAATGTTAATGAAATAAAAATAAATTTTATGCTTTTCAGTTTACTTCCATCAAAAATTCTTATTTAACTAGCCTTCTATCAGTTGAAACTAATATTTGAGGATTGGCTGCTTTTTGTGATGATAGAGTATAAATTGATAGTCATCTAAATTATGTGAAGCAAATCTCTAGTTATTATCTTCGAAATAGATCTGCATTGCCTAATACTGAACAAAGAGCTTAAAAATGCACATGTTAAATCATTAACTGTTTTTGTGATGTGAGCTTGGGACTGATCTAGATTCCATTAATACTGTCATTAATACTTTGTTTTGTACATAATTATGGGTAATTAAGATGATAACAAGATCTTACACACATAAATGTGTACGTATTATTCCATATTATATATATCACTCCATTCTCTATATAATCATTGAAATTATATTGAGTATCTATACAATGGATGGTGTAGTAAATTATTTGAACAGTGGAAAACCAACTTCTTAATGCACTAAGATTATACAAATTTACCTGCCTACTTGTGTAGTGTTATTTTAACTGGGAAAAAAATTAAATTAAAATGAAAGTAGAAAGCCAATTTTACATTTCTTTTCAGCCTATCACTATTAATGAATAGGATAATAGTAATATAAAATCAAATAAAAAAAAACAATGTTAATTCATCCAAGCTACTGCATATTACTCCTGAACTTCTCTCAAATGGATGGAGAGTGGCATTGAAAATCAATGATCTTTTGAGGTAAGAAGTGAGATTATGGGATAAGTGGTAAAAAAATATATTTTCTAAACTGTTTTAAAGAGAATAATATAGTAAAATAATTTTTTGTTCAACCTTTCATTCTAACCAATGGAATAAAATACAACTGTGGGAGAAATTAATGACTGAAAATATTCTGTGTGTTTCTAGATTACTTTTAGTGAACATTAATACAAGGATAAAATGAACTATCTAATATGTGTGTGTATCCAACAAGCCGCCTGGACTGCCTCCTTTCCAAAAGACTCCTCCAGAATTCCTATAAAGACCATTCTACCCCAACACCTCCTTAACCTAATCCGCACCAAACGCCGTGCCAGATTATTATGGCAACGATCCCGACATCCTACCGACCGCTGCTCCTATAATTACTATTGCAAACAATTAAAACTGGAATTAGCCACCTTCAGATCACAATCCTTCAACTCCTACCTATCCTCCCTCTCTTCTCGCGACAATTCCCTTTGGAAAACCACAACAAAAATCCTAAATCCTCACCGCATTTCCCATCCTCTCCGACGAGGTGATGGCTCCTGGGCAGCATCTGACGAAGATAAAGCTGAGGAGTTCGCCATTCACCTATCCAATACATTTATTTCACATCCGGAATCCCATCCTGCCCACACCGTAACAGTAGAAGAACTCCTTACATCACCAATCCCACTTTCCTTGCCCCCAAAAGCTATTCATCCTTCCGAAGTAAAATTTCAATTAAAAAAACTAATCCTCCGTAAAGCTCCTGGACATGATCTCCTTACACCTCAAATCCTTCGACAACTTCCATCCAAAGCAGTCATATTCCTTACATATATCTACAATTGTATCCTACGCACCACCCACTTCCCTCTGTTATGGAAACACTCCACTATTATCCTTTTCCCAAAACCAGGAAAACCTCTCAATAGCTCAACATCCTATAGACCAATCAGCCTACTCCCAATCCTTTCAAAAATTTTTGAAAAGATCCTTTTGAAACGAATCCTACCCATTATAGAATCCCAAAATATCCCTTCCCATCAGTTTGGTTTTCGTTCTCAACATTCTACTGTTCAACAAGGACTCCGAGTCGTTGATCATATTTCCTCAGCCCTAGAAAACAAGGAATACTGTTCGGGTGCCTTTCTGGACATTGCACAGGCATTTGACCGGGTATGGCACTCCGGACTGCTCTCCAAGCTTAAAATCCATTTACCTCAGTCCTTGTACCTAGTCCTCCGATCCTACCTCTCTGACCGCTCCTTTCGAGTTCGCTGTGGAACAGAATTTTCCAATATCTACTCCGTTAAAGCCGGTGTTCCCCAAGGCAGCGTCTTGGGTCCCGTGCTTTACATCCTCTTTACTGCTGACATCCCTGTTCATCCCGATACTTTTCTTGCAACATTCGCTGACGACACCGCAATCTTATCATCCAACTCTGATCCCGAAATAGCATCCTTAAATCTCCAAAGTCATCTCACCTTGATTGAGCACTGGTGTAATAACTGGCGCATTAAAGTTAATGAATCTAAATGCCAACACATTACTTTTACACTCCGACGCAATTCCTGTCCACCAGTACTCTTTAATTCCATCCAGCTTCCTTATTCAGACACAGTCCGGTATCTTGGCTTTCATTTAGACCGAAGACTAACTTGGAACCCGCATACTAGACTCAAAAGACAAGAACTCAACCGACGATACGGCCAACTATACCGACTACTAAGCAGAAAATCTAAACTTTCCATTGAAAACAAGCTACTGATCTACAAGACAATACTGAAACCTATTTGGACTTACGGACTAGAACTGTGGGGATCAGCAAAATTTTCTAACATCAAGCGCATCCAATCCTTCCAGTCTAAAGTCCTTCGAACAATAGTCGATGCTCCTTTCTATGTATCCAACAAAACCCTACATCATGACCTTAACATCCCATTTGTCCTAGACCTTATCCCAGAAAAGTTCTCCAAATTTCACCAGAACCTTACTTACCACCCAAATCCTCTTGCACAATCCCTATCAAGCATCTCCCATCCCTATAATCCTCCAAGAAGGTTGAAACGGCAGTGGCCTCGCGACCTTTTGTAAATTATATAAATTGGAGTTCTGGCAATGGCCAGATTCTTCACTCAAGACATGTGTGTATGTGGCTAAAGTGCTCTCGACCAATCTCCGCTGGCTTTAGTACCAGTGACGCGGTTGGAAGAGTAGCGCAGGGTTCTCCTGGAGTTCCCTCGCCTGATTGTATATAGGTATGCATGTTATTTTTTTTTTTTTTTCCTTAGTTCTAATTTTCTTATTTTTTAGGTTATTTTATTTTATTGTCTATTGTATATACTTTTGATTATTATTTTGTTCTATTTATTTTATTTTTTTGTACATATGGTGTGAATGTCATCCTACCTCACTATAACCAATGTCGAACAGACAGATTGTTATAATACTCAATAAAGAAATTTAAAAAAAAAAATATGTGTGTGTATTGCAGTATAGTATGGAAATTATTTGAAAAATAAATACAGAATGGTCTTCCTTTAGATTTGAAATACCTTTTACATAAAAAGTTGGTGCAGTATATGGAATTAGAACTATAAAAATTTACAGATCAGTGTAAAGAAGAGTTCCATCAATAACGAGCAAAAAATTGATAAAATTGGTCTTGGAGATGTCATTGAAGAAATATTATCTAAAAAATTAAGTTTTTCTTTGCAGATAATTAATATTAATATAATTTTATAGCAATTATGAAGTAATCCAAATAATTATAATGTTTATACCACAAATATTTGTTTATTTACACTAATACATTGCCTTTAATAGAAAACTTATATCAAATAAACATTATTTGCCCAAATTAAATTCATAAAAATTAAATTATTTAACCACTCTGTTTCTCTTAAAAAAACTATTGCAATTGATAAATGGAAATTTTACATTACAAAACCATATGTAGGTTTGTTTTTTATAATAATTGATATATATATATATAGGTCTGTAAGCCATACATCATGGTTAACAGTATTAAAAAAGTATACCATTAGAAACTATTCAATATGGAATCCCAGTCATGATGACAATCAATATGTAATAGTTTACCTTTTAATAGCTGAATTACACAGATTTCTGAGACACATGAAATTGAAAAAATAAATTAACAAATAATGAAGGATACAGGTCAATATGTCTGCTATGTTTGTGAAGACAGAGTCAGAAGCATACATTGATGGTACTTCTTTCCTCAGATCTGCAAACTGGTTATAATATAAAGGTAGAGTAATATCTTTGTTCGCTGCCTCAGGATGCAAACATTGTCTTAAAGGAAGTTGACCATCTGTGACCAAAGTCAAAGAATAAGGTGAAACGCCAAGACCAGAACAATATCCCTCAAACTGAAACAACAATTTTGTAGTTAAAAAAAAATAAAATTAAGATTTGAGTAATTGTGACTTTTTTATTCAGTAAAGAACATACCATAAGATGGGGTAACTTTGGTACTGGGTGGGTAACTTTAGTTTGTGGTGATTTCATGGTGGATACATTGTGTTGGTTCAGTCAGCATGGACAGCGTATGTATTGCACTACTACCTTGCGGCACACTACTCTTGAGACACAAGCGAAAGTTTCATGAAAACAAGTATTTTGAAAAAAGCAATGGAAATAAATAAAATCTAACTGCACAACGAGTGTAGTGAATTAGGGTTCTCAAACTGCCACAAGATGGTAGTGCAGCACATGCTTACATAAAGCACATTTTTGCAGACTGAACCAACACAGTGCATCTACCATGCAATCACCAAAAACTAAATAATAAACTAACCCACTGTCCCAAAGTTATCCCATCTTACGGTATGGCACAGAAAAAGTGGCTGAGTTCAACTCTAGTAAGATGAAACTACTATAACAATACTTTTTTTAAAAATCATAAACAAGTTAAACACAAATAAATAATTTTTCCAATTTAATTATTAAAAAAAGTAATATCTTTGTAGTCTCAGGTGTATTCGTCAATTATCCAATTTGGTTAAGTTGCCAGACAGTTGATCTTCATTTGGAAATGCATGTAAACAGGTTCTGTTAATGTTCTATATAAACATATTTGTGATCCACACAGCATCTCAACAGATATTAATTTTATCATAACTTTTGACTGAAACTAAAAAACGTTATAAGCTGATTCTCTCTGTAGAAAAACTATCTTATAATATTTCTAGGCTTTCCAGAAATTAAGTTGATTAAATAATTCATCCATTCTTTACAGTTGTCAATATTGCCTTTATATAATTGACCTGAGTCATGATTTTTTTAATGTTTTGAAAGATATTAACAGTGAAATTAAAATATAAATAGAACATTGTTGGTTAGTTTTTATCTTTAGAGAGTATTATTAATACTTTTACACTCTAAAGAATAAAAATTAAGGAAGTCACTATGGTTTTATTCTTTTTGAGTCAACTTGTAAAGAGAATTGATTTTTCGGGTTTCTTTGATAAAACAATAATCATTCAATAAATTAATTATAAGTTCCATACTTTTTTCTTAAAAGTATGATTTTAAGTTATCCTCTTTGTTTTATGGCAATAATTTTCATTTGTCTGATTACAACTATTTCTGAAATTAAATATCTTATTTCTAACAAATGTTGGAGTTGTGCGCATGTGCTAGATAATAACTGTCAACCCGTACATCATCTCCTAGAAATATTCATTATTTTTTTTTAGAAAAATAGTGTTTTTTTTAATTAAAACAGTGTCAAGATGTCAACTAGACACCTAACCCAAAATATAAACTAATTATACTGTGAGTATAGTTGTTATTCATTGTGTACTGTTGTGGAGAGTAAAGCCGATATATAAAGTCCCCTTATCACAGCCATAGTATTCGTTACTTGGTTTCATCTGGTCAGCTGAGTTGCTGCCTACTACAGGAGCCGTCCACTTGCCCATATGTGTCATTGATTAAAGGTCAAGTTCAAGCAAACAAAAAATTTGTTTTCTTTCTTCTTCCTTTTCCCTTCATTCATGATATATTACCATCATATAATGTTTTCTAAGGGTGCAACAAAGAGATTTCGATCTGGAATCTTCACCCATTGTTGGAGATCCCTGACCTTCAATTCTTGTTAAGAATATAAAAACTTTTCCTGTGTTATGTATACAACTAAATGAAATACAAATTTTGGTAGTCACTCCTGTTTAAGCCACACTAAAAATACTAAAATATCCATAGGCATAGCTAATGCATACCAGCAAATAGTTAAAATATCTATTTGATACAATGGCAGATTTTCACACCTACCAACTGAAGCAAGAGAGTTCTCTGGGGGTAGTAATCATGAACTTACCCTCATCTATAACAGATAAGGCGATTCCAGGAAGAACTAGGTTTTAAGATCCGAAAGATTACCAAAGTTATGAAGGACAATAAAGATGCATCTGGGGTAAATAAAAAGGTACCATTACTTCTATTTTTCTTAGATTTAGAACCATCACCAGGAATTGATAAAATACATGAAATTAAAAGCTTGTATTACACAAGTGTAAAGATTGAAAACCATACACTAAACATTCTGCCACCACATACCAAACCAAGATGAGTGAAATTCAAATAATCACATAAGTCTGGTGAATGCATGAAATCGGAAGCAACTCCGATAGTATGCGCTCCATACCTGAAAGGAAATCCTACCAATTACAAAGGTTGCCAGATCTACAAAATTAAATTTCATAAATCCCGGAATCAAGAAGAAATTTCTAAGCCGAGAAGAAGAATAGCTAAATTAGTGGATTCTAAGGGTTCTTTTACTCAGTTACTTGGGGGTCGAGACCTGACTGATGAATGTGAGCCCCTGCCACAACAACAATCTCAATATCCTATCTCTCCTAATGTACCTAACCCTCAACATCAAATTCCTCCTACATCAAATGACACCCGGTTATTTTTGAGTACCCGAAATATCGATATGAATGAGTTGGCGGCCTTTAATTTATGTTTTAATATTCATGTTGATTTTGTTATTTCGTACAGTCCACTACTTTAAAAAAAAAATATTTGAATGCCTATCCATTAACTTGGGGGCATTTATGCCTGAACACAGATCTTACTAGATTGTTGGCATCTTTCCTAACTGAATTCAAATCCCTTGTTACCTCACTGTACTTCCCACTCCTTATAAATCTTGTATCTCATCTCACCCCTCCTTTTAAAATTCTTAAATTAAATCCATTAAACTCTTATCCATTCTCTTTTGGAATGTAAATGTTAGAAATCACATTGACTAACTAATAGCTTTATTACTAGACAACAACGTTAATTAGGCTTTAATTATAGGAACTTGACTGAAAAAAAAGCTTTTAAAAATACCACTATAGGAAGAAGGAGGAACTAAGTTCTGAGGGAAGCAAAACAACAAGGACAAACTTGAACCTCAATCCTAGAGAGACAACATAGGACTGAAAAACATGGACAAACATTATTTGGGCCTTAGTCCCTCTGTGGAGTACTAGAATTATTACTCAATAATCATTTCAAAATTCAACATTATTCAGTAAATTAATAAGACACGTCCATCTCTTTTAATTTTTAAATGGTCTAAATGAACTTTTATTTATGAATTAATACATTTTGGTTCTAATACAAAATTGTGTAAAAAGAAAACAGACTAAATCCTTAATTAGCAATGAAATTGTCTACTTTACAATTATACATTATTCATAAAGTGATATCCTAGAATTAAGTTATATGCAATGCACTATGCCAATGACATAGAACTTACCAAGCTTAGGGCCTTCGAAAGTGTTACTCCAGAAGTCCTAATTGCTGCTTCTGTGAGTCTAGTTTCCACCTGAACTTCGTCAGAGAGGAAATTGGCATTAATATCTGCTGATAGTGGTTTTATCACATATTCTTGTATCCCTAGTACCTGAAAAAATAAATTTGAAATGTAAAAAAGTAAAGATATATAACAATATTAGACAAAGTATAAATGGCAGGATCAATATAATATGAAATAATCTGAAGCAGTCCACTTTCAATAATATTTATTTTGTTATAGTTACATACATATGTACTACTTAATATGAATAGAAATATAAAATTATATTTTTGATAAAAAGAATAAAACACACACACACACAAACACACACACACACACACACACACACACACACACACACACACACACACACACACACACACACACACACACACACACACACACACACACATATAAATTTTCGGTTGGTGCAACAGGCCATGAGATGAGGTCTTATTACAGACATATATTGCTTTCGGGGGCACAGATAGCCTGGAGGGGACATATATATATTACTTGAAAAGATCGCAACAGCAACATACTTGTAGAAGAAGAAGCCTGCATGAACCAATAGAAGAGGCATTCCACAGCCATTTACAGAAGAGGGCAAAGCGAGCGAGGTGCAAAATAAGGATAGATCTATCCTAGCAGTAGAAGATATGGAGCCACCTTATGATGAAGAGGTTACAGAAGCTATAGAAAAACTAAACAATCACAAAGCACCAGGGATAGGTGATATTCCAGCTGAGCCTCTCAAGTATGGGATATGCTGGCCATAAAAAGGCTCTTCATAACTTTATCCTAAAGAAATGGGGGTGCGAGGAGATTTCAGATGGATGGAAGAAATCCGTAATATACCCTATCTACAAGCACAAGAGATCCTTATGATTGGTGTAATTACTGTGGATTACATCTAAAATTACACCTCTTTCTAGATTTCATAACAGCATATGATAAAAATTATCATCACAGACCTTGAATGTGTTACACAGAAACAAGATCAGTCAGAAACCTTCCTGCAATGCACCACAGACTATGGGGGGAGGGGATGGGAGTTGGACACTTCTGCTTTTACCTGTAATTCAGAGGGAATTGAAAGACTCGCCAAAAATTTGATTTGAAGAGAAGAAAAGCAAATCGGCCAACATGTAAATTAAGACATGCAATAATAAAGCCAGTCCTGATATAACCCAGTCCTGTCATAAATATTGTTACACGGAAATATATACAGATTTCAACAAAGAAATTATTTTTTTCAAGAACTTTATTAGAAAATAAAATGTATATTTATAGAGAGTAAAAATAAAAATAAATTACTTAAAATGTCTCCCTTTTGCCTTGACACAGTCATTTAATCTCCGTTCTTGGGGAAAGCGCTCAGTGACATGCCATACTCTCCAGTTCGGACCAAAGCCGATAATCTCGTGGGTTGAGATCAGGGCTACCTCAGAGCCAATCCGAGACAGAGATAAACTTTGGAATGTTCTTTTGCAGCCACTGCTGAGTTGACCTGGCCTTTTGAACTGGAGCGGAGTTCTGCTGAAAAACCCAATGACTTCCAGCAAACAGGGTATCATTTAGAGGATTGACAACAGGTTCCAAAATATCGTCCTAATAGTTTTTAGCGACCGTTTCAACTCTTTTTTTTCACAAAATGGAGCTTCGTGGTGGCATCAAAGTAAACTCCCTACCAAACCATCATTAAGGAAGGCTGATGACCTCTTTCCACTATTCCAATAACTTCCTGGGCTTCTTTAGAGCTGTGAGTGTACACGCGATAATTTTGGAGATTAAATTTTTCTTCAGTTTTAAAAATTTTCTCATCGCTACTTTTGTTTAGATGAATACCATTGGTGTAACGGCCAAGGAGCACTTTGCATCTATCCACTCTATTTTTTTTTAGGAAAGTGGTTATTAATTAATATACAGCTACTAAATATAACCATTTCTGACAAAAAAGATATTAAAAAATTATCTCTAAAAATATTATTGTTCGTGTGATTATATTTTTAATAGGTCTTAAAGAATCACTTAAACACCATTTCATATAGGTAGTTAGTTTCTTTCTTTTTGTGCCCAAGTAAATATCATGAAACATATTTTTAAAAAACCTTTCGGGCTGAAGCCCTCCCCAAAATTAAATCCTGGATCTGCTATTGCTTAAGACAACAGTTTTGAAAAACTGTTATAGAAAATAAAATGTCTTCATTATATTTTATATTCGCCCGCTTAATACCATTCAAAGTGTACCAGCATTTGACCCCCTTTTAGCAGCTTCTTGAAATATTCTGTTCATCTATCTACTAGATATTCGTTTATCCATATAATGTATACTGATCCTTGTTTTCTTTTCCGAGATTATGGCAATTCCTTCCTCGTCGTTCAATGAAATTTCCAATTTTATGGTTTAATTTCGCGTTTTCACCCATTTTGATACCAAATACTAACGATTAGTTCCGGTTACCAACAAGAACATACAGCTTCGCCTTTTCCATCTTTCTTTGTGCAGAGAGAATAAATCATTCAAATTAAAAGTTCCTACTTTTTTATGATATGGCCCAACCTTCGAATAAAATAGAGGAAATAGAAAAAATGAAATTAATTTGTTTATTAGTGATATATGAGTTTTATTTAATAACCCGACAACTATTCATTGTATGTAATGCAGATTAATTATATTTTATTTTATAAAACAGGTATTAATATGACTAATTTCCGAGAAAGTATATATAATTTAACTTACGTCTAAGAGTCAGTGAGTTTACAAAACAATGTGTTAAATTGCAAACTTTAAATAAAACATACAAGATATTTAGCGAAGTATTTTTTAATTAAGTTTTATTATTATAATTATATCGTTTTTACAAAAGAAGCATTCTTAAACGAGAATAAAGGAATTAATATTAAAAAAAAATAAAAATAAAAAATTGTTTAATTTTTTTGGACAATTAAATTATTGCATTAATATTTGTTCGTTAATACAATCAATATAATGTACCAAAAACGTTATTATAGGACGATAACTATGCCATTTATGAGTACTGAATGATGTAGCAGAGGCCTGTAGGCACCTACGCCAGTACCATTTTTCCGCCGATTAAGTGTATTTTCTACAAAATCATTTCAAATATTTAAAAAAGTTATCAGTGTTTTAGAAAGCAAAATATATTCTCCAGATATTTTATTTAAAAAAGTTTTCCGTTACTGTAGGCTGTTTAATTACAAACGACGCTTGATTCTCAACTTGAAATTTTTTTTTGTTGAAAAAAAATTGAATTTACTGGAGTTTTTTATTGCTTAAACCAATTATTTTTTAATATTGTTTTATCCTCTGACTATTTAATAATAAAAGGCTTTAATAAAAGGCCAATTATGACGGCATTAAACCAAATGCTGATCCTCAGTGACCAAAAACTAAGTCGCCGATCCGCCATCTTTGGTCGCCATTTTGGGGCAGTGCGTTCACTTTTTTTCGTGGGACCAGTGGCTTTTTTTTAAATAAATAGTTACAAGGAACACAATGATATGCAATTTATAGGGATGTAGGGGGGAGTGGGTGCACGGAGGGGGGGGGGGGCGGGGAGGCTTTGGCCCACCGTGTAAAAACAAGTAATCGAAAAACGATGAAAAGTAGCTCATTTGTCGATTTCAATGCAGCCTATGATTCTTTTTTATAAACACATTGAGTAATAATGACAATGTCCCAAGAATCAGTTCTACATTTTCTGATATAATGTTCTCCAATGATATTAAGAGAGAAGATATACAAAATCAAGGTTTGATATCTCGATGCAGCATTCTTAATTGATCAGTATTTTCATCTCTTCACACTCACCTTCTTTGTAATCTCAAATTGTCTGAAATGAGTACAGTACAGAAGCCCCTACATAAACCATTGTTATTTAAAAATATTATCACCATAAGCAGTTCGGGCTTAAGATATTTGCCCCCCCCCCCCCCTTTCCGGGCAATGACTTCATCTACCCCCACTAAAAATATTAAATTTATTTCCTACGTTGTTTTATATTATCATAAGATGGGCTAGGTTAGAGACAGCGGGTAAAATGCGAGTGCGTGGTGATTCCGTGGTTGATAGGCTGTGTTGGTTCAGTCAGTATGGACAGCGCATGTACTGTGATACTACCTTGCGGCAAACTACTTTTGAGGCACAAGTGAAGGTTCCATGAAAACAAGAATTTTGAAAAAATTGCAATGGAAATAAATAAAACCTAACTGCACAACGCGTGTAGTCAAGTATGGTTCACAAACTGCCGCAAAGTAGTAGCGCAGTACATGCCTACACAAAGCACATTTTTGGCGACTGGACCAACACAGTGTGTCCACCAATGAATCATCACAAACTAAATTTTACCCGCTGTCCCAAAGTTACCCACCCAGTCACAAAGTTACCCCATCTTATGGTATGTAATATTTGAATTTTATTCCATTTAACATTTATCTAATGCAGTTGCTTTATTGATGGGCTAAAATTAATTATTTTAATATGTTTTGTATTTATAACAAGTGGCGAGCACTCCTGAAGTCGACCGTTGCCTCACACTTAGGCCGGCGCTGACCATAAGTTCTAAATAATTTATTTAAATTTTTTTTAAGGATCGAAGGTCAGGATTCAAAGACACTACTATAGCTTCAAGTATTTTTTTTTTTTTTGCATAGTGATATTCGTCATTTTGTTCCCAATATAGACATGAGTTTTTAAACACAGCTGCTCTTTCTGCGTCTTCTCTTGATCGCCCTCTTCTTGATGCTTCTTCAGGTTTAACCTTGAATCTTCAAAGGCCGTATTTGTACACGATATCTCACTCCTATTGTAACATTCACATGTTTGAATTTATGTATCACTTTCTAAACCTACGTACAATGTCTGTTTGTAGCATCCGCGCGGATTGCATTACTAAATGTAAGCGTTTATAGCTCATATCAATTATTTTTGTAACCTACACATTGCTTTGCACAAAAGGTTTTGAAGTCAAACAATGAACGGCTCATACGTCTTTCAGTTGAAGGAACAGCGTATGAGAAGTGAGGGCGGATTTCGGACTTTTAGTGTATTTACTGATGCCCTTTTGAAAAAAAAAAAAAATTGA